CTACTGGTTCCACTAGCACCTCTTTAAGCAGGAACCTTAGTTTTTTTCACAGGAGTCTCCCATCCAGGTACTAACCAGGCTCATACCTGCTGAGCTTCAGGAGGCTTCCAGTTGTGAGTTGCAGGGTGATATATATATACAGGGTTTTTCAAAATCACAAATTTGGTGAGGGGAGACCATGCTGAAAAAGCCGTTTCTCTTCCGTTGCAGTTTTATGCCAGCTGGGGGCAGTGCAGTTGCGCAGTGGTTTGCCTTCTTGCCCCTCAGTGCTGGGGTTCTGGGTTTGATTTCTAGGAGGCTATCTGTGTGGAGTTTGTATGTTCTGATATAAGACATACTGGTTAACTGGATTCTGGGAAAGCAGGCCCTGGTGTGAGTGTGTGCGTGAATGTGTCTGTGTCTGTGTGTATGTCCTGCCATGGACCTGAATCCAGTCCAGGGTGTACCCCACCTGTCACCTGTTGCTTGCCGGTATAGATGACCCTGTAGTGGATGATGAGGTTAGAAAATGGATGGATGATGTATCAGCTAGATAACCAACACCACCCCCCCACTAGCAACGTGAGGACGGGATTAGTCCATCGGTCATGTCACTGGCTGACTGTGATGTGGTCACTCAGTTGGCGCTTCTGGGATGACTCAGCATGCTTTAGCAATGCACATTTCATCCTCTTTTTTGGAAAAATTGGAAAAATAATAAAATATCCCATCATTCAGACCTAAGATCAACCATGCATTTCAGCACTGGTGATATGGAGCCACTGGATCTGCTGTAATATCTGTTTAGAGATGAAACGCATTTTTGGTACACCATCACAACTCTATTGGGCCCTTCTGGGAGTTGATCCTTAATCTCCTTTCACTTTTTCCATGAGCGCTCCAAACATGTCTATGGAAATGACATTGCTTTCCAGGACAAACAGTGACTTCTAAGACCTGGCTAGCCCATGCGGATTGGCAGTGATGTCACTGCACGCTGTGCCGCTCCTCCAGTCTGCACTCACTCTCCTGTCAGGGGCTGTGGAGACTGCAGCATGTCACATGACGAGGGAGTCCCGCAGGTGGGCGTATCTCAGTCTCTCCCAGGCAGGACTGGCAATCTTTGCTAGATAGCCAATGCCAAAAGCAATTGGAAATTCCCAACTAGGTCGGGGAAACAAGTAATTGTCATTTCCAAATTAAACTCTCTCTTCCTCTCCTTCTGTGTCTGTTTGTCCTGACTATTGCTGTGCAGCCCATAGCTTTCTGATCTTCCATTACCTCTGTTTCCCAGAAAAGCCATACAGAATCCA